TTCTCGGGAATCAAGTAATTAAGAATGTAAGGATATACTTAGACACTATGTAGAAAGTTAATGCAAATTGTCACGCCCTGGCTCGGGGGACTCTCGTATGTTGAGCCAGGGTGTTAGTTTCTATGTTTTGTGTTGTAGGTTGTGGGTCTGGTTTTGCTTTTCTATGTTGGCCAGGGTGGCTCCCAATCAGAGACGGCTGTAGCTCGTTGTCTCTGATTGGGAGTCATACTTAGGTAGCCGTTTGGCATTCATTATTTGTGGTTTCTTGTTCTTATTTGGTTTGTGTTAAACCGTAGACATCACGTTATCGTCTGTTGTTTTGATCGTGTGATCATTCATTAATAAATATGTTCACCTTCAACGCTGCGCATTGGTCCTCCTCCTTAGACGATCGTGACAGAAGAAACCACCTCGACTGGATCAAGCAGCGTGACGAGGAGAGAGGATGGACTTGGGAGGAGATGAGTGCGAGTCTGGCAAGAGTGATGGAGGCCTTGGCTACGGGTAGGAGTGAAGCCCATACATTTTTTAGGGGGGGGCTAACGCCGTGGACGACGGGGCAGCAGGAGGCCGCCAGGTTACGGGAGTCACTGGTCACCAGGGGGAGGGAGGATGTAGAGGCACGGCGAGAGGTACTGGCGTGTGTTGCCAGTCCGGTCCGGCCTGTTCCTGATCCCCACGTAGGGCCAGTGGTGTGTGTTCCCAGTACGGTCCGGCCTGTTCCTGCCACTCGCACCAAGTCAGTGGTGCGCTTCGTCAGCCCGGCTCGGCCCGTTCCTGCTCCCCGCACCAAGTTAGTGGTGCGCTTCGTCAGCCCGGCTCGGCCCGTTCCTGCTCCCCGCACCAAGTCAGTGGTGCGTTTCGTCAGCCCGGCTCGGCCCGTTCCTGCTCCCCGCACCAAGTCAGTGGTGCGTTTCGTCAGCCCGGCTCGGCCCGTTCCTGCTCCCCGCACCAAGTCAGTGGTGCGCTTCGTCAGCCCGGCTCGGCCCGTTCCTGCTCCCCGCACCAAGTCAGTGGTGCGCTTCGTCAGCCCGGCTCGGCCCGCTCCTGCTCCCCGCACCAAGTCAGGGGTGGGTGCGTTTCGTCAGCCCAGCTCGGGCCGTCCCTGCTCCCCACACCAAGCCAGTTATGTGCGTCGTCAGTCCGGCACAGCCCGTGCCTGTTCCACTGGTGCCTGGTTCGGCACGGGTCAGCTGCTTCACGCCGGAGCTAGAGCAATCCGCTCCACCAGTGTGCAGTCCAGCTCCGGTCAGCAGGGCCAGACCGGACCAGGGGTACTTTGGGGGGTTAGAGAGCGAGTGGGGATCATGCCCGGAGCCGGATCCGCCTCCTAGGCGGAGTGCCCACCCGGTCCCTCCCCTGTTGTGTTTGGTTGGCGCGGTCGGAGTCCGCGCCTTTAGGGGCGGGTACTGTCATGCCCTGGCTCGGGGGACTCTCGTATGTTGAGCCAGGGTGTTAGTTTCTATGTTTTGTGTTGTAGGTTGTGGGTCTGGTTTTGCTTTTCTATGTTGGCCAGGGTGGCTCCCAATCAGAGACGGCTGTAGCTCGTTGTCTCTGATTGGGAGTCATACTTAGGTAGCCGTTTGGCATTCATTATTTGTGGTTTCTTGTTCTTATTTGGTTTGTGTTAAACCGTAGACATCACGTTATCGTCTGTTGTTTTGATCGTGTGATCATTCATTAATAAATATGTTCACCTTCAACGCTGCGCATTGGTCCTCCTCCTTAGACGATCGTGACACAAATGTTTTATTAGTCGGTACCGGGTTCGATACAACAAGGACAGAGCTTTGCCTCTTGCTGTTTCGAACTGACTCGAACAAATAGTTACTCTCCCTTATATACAGTTGAAGTCAGAAGTTTACATACACTTAGGTTGGAGTCATTAAAACTCGTTTTCCAACCACTCCACACATTTCTTGTTAACAAACTATAGTTTTGGCAAGTCGGTTAGGACATCTACTTTGTGCATGACACAAGTAATTTTTCCAACAATTGTTTACAGACAGATTATTTCACTTATAATTCACTATATCACAATTCCAGTGGGTCAGAAGTTTACATACACTAAGTGACTGTGTCTTTAAACAGCTTGGAAAATTCCAGAAAATGATGTCATGGCTTTAGAAGCTTCTGCTAATTGACATAATTTGAGTCAATTGGAGGTGTACCTGTGGATGTATTTCAAGGCCTACATTCAAACTTCGTGCCTCTTTGCTTGACATCATGGGAAAATCAAAAGAAATCAGCCAAGACCTCAGACATTTTTTTGTAGACCTCCACAAGTCTGGTTCATCCTTGGGAGCAATTTCCAAATGCCTGAAGGTACCACGTTCATCTGTACAAACAATAGTACACAAGTATAAACACCATGGGACCACACAGCCGTTATACCGCTTAGGAAGGAGACGCGGTCTGTCTCCTAGAGATGAACGTACTTTGGTGCGAAAAGTGCAAATCAATCCCAGAACAACAGCAGAGGACCTTGTGAAGATGCTGGGGAAAACAGGTACACATTTACCTATATCCACAGTAAAACAAGTCCTATATCGACATAACCTGAAAGGCCGCTCAGCAAGGAAGAAGCCACTGCTCCAAAACCACCATAAAAAAGCCAGACTACGGTTTGCAACTCACATGGGGACAAAGATTGTACTTTTTTGAGAGATGTCCTCTGGTCTGATGAAACAAAAATATAACTGTTTGGCCATAATGACCATTGTTATGTTTGGAGGAAAAAGGGCGTTGTTTGCAAGCCGAAGAACACCATGAAGCACGGGGGTGGAAGCATCATGCTGTGGGGGTGCTTTGCTGCAGGAGGGACTGGTGCACTTCACAAAATAGATGGCATCATGAGGAAGGAAAAGTATGTGGATATATTGAAGCAACATCTCAAGACATCAGTCAGGAAGTTAAAGCTTGGTTGCAAATGGGTCTTCCAAATGGACAATGACCCCAAGCATACTTCCAATGTTGTGGCAAAATGGCTTAAGGACAACAAAGTCAAGGTATTGGAGTGGCCATCACAAAGCCCTGACCTCAATGCTATAGAAAAGTTGTGGGCAGAACTGAAAAGGCGTGTGCGAGCAAGGAGGCCTACAAACCTGACTCAGTTACACCAGCTCTGTCAGGAGGAATGGGCCAAAATTCACCCAACTTATTGTGGGAAGCTTGTGGAAGGCTACCCGAAACGTTTGACCCAAGTTAAACCATTTAAAGGCAATGCTACCAAATACTAATTGAGTGTATGTAAACTTCTGACCCACTGGGAATGTGATGAAATAAATAAAAGCTGAAATAAATAATTATCTCTACTATTATTCTGACATTTCACATTCTTAAAATAAAGTGGTGATCCAAACTGACCTAAGACAGGGAATTTTTACTAGGATTAAATGTCAGTAATTGTGAAAAACTGGGTTTTAATGTATTTAGCTAAGGTGTATGTAAACTTCCGACTTCAGCTGTACCCTCTGTTTACCAGTTTCTTCAAGCACATCTGGTAACCCTCCATGGGCACTACCTTCTTTGATGCTATTACCCTTTACCCCCAAGCCATATATCCTTGTCCAACTATTATTCCAAGATCAACCTCAGTAATCTCCTTTGACATAAGGAATGCGGACTCTGTGGCACCAAGTCACTTATCTGCTAACTCTACCTTGGTTTCCCACAACACTATAAAAACCTTATATCACCAGTGCACACAGGTGTTGTATCGAGGTGCCTGCCGACTTGACCGGTAGCATAGTAGCCTTCATGCTAAATATTATAATATTATTAACCATCTTGGATGTATGTCGACCTTAGCCACTGCCTGCCGAGTACTATTTTCCCGCAGTTCTGTTAACGTTATTGCGAGGGAAGTAGCTAGCTTGTTAGTGTAGCCAACCCAACTCTCGCGTGGTGTGTAGTCGAGTCACCCGCCTCAGTCTGCGGACCGCAGATAGACTCTATTCTGCAATATACCAAAGGTAGCACACCACATTATCTTACAACTTATTCAATAATTTAAATAATTTAATTTAATTAACTTTTAATAACTTCTGCCATAATAGCCTATTTATTTTTTGTAGCTAGTTAATTTTGAGGTAATGTCCGCTTTGGTGCTGTTGACCTAAACATTTGCTACTAGAGGGATTTCAGGTTCACAGTAAACCTAATTTTAGCTCAGTTCAGTTTATGGGCTTTACAAGAATTTGTCTCACGTTCTTGTGAACAGAGTTAAAAAATACAAAAATGCCTTTTGATTTGATAATCAAAAAAAGTCTAGGCTCCAGCCAGATACAACAGTACATTGAAAACTGTAGTATAGTAGACCTACGCAAACAATAAAGGCCAAACTCCAAAGGCTTTCTGACAACACGATGGCAGGTGGGAACGAGTGACACTACACTCCAAAGGCTTTCTGACAACACGATGGCAGGTGGGAACGAGTGACACTACACTCCAAAGGCTTTCTGACAACACGATGGCAGGTGGGAACGAGTGACACTACACTCCAAAGGCTTACTTCCATTGTGGTCCTTCTGACAACACGAAGGCATGTGGAAAGAGTGACACTACAATTTGCAAACAATAACAACAACACCAATGACTATTATAACATTATTAACAATAGAAAAATACAGAGGTACCCGTTAATGGTTCACTTCTAGAAAAGATGCCCCTAATCAATCAGCCATGAATATTCTCAACCAATTTTATATGTACAGTCAGGTCCTAAATTATCGGCACCCTTATAAAAGATGCGCAAAAAATACATATATGTGAAAATGCTACCAACATTGAAACTAATACTAAACAAGACATCGGGAGATATGGACTTGATTCCCATCTGCTTTTTTTTGGTGTTTAAACCACTGATACACTTTATAAAACTGTATTGGCATCTGTTGAGAAGACATTGTGTCACAAATATTACTCAGCAACAAAATAATTTACTGTCTGCATCAGCTGCAGCACCTATTCAGAATGGTTAAGGGTCAGCCACCATCTTATCTGTTGTCCTCCATGACGATGGTTCTCCTTGGGTAGGTGTCTACTTCCACGAAGATGTAGCGAAACTCACATTTTCCAGTTTCAGGGTTCTGTCAAAAGAGGACAAGCACGTTAAACTTTTATCACAACTTTAAACAGGCTCTATGCAGATTAGCCAAATCTTTAAAAATGAAAATTGAGTTAAGATCAACCAGATAAATGACACATGAAAGAAAGACAAAATACTACATAAATAGTATGTCTAACCTCTTTGGATTCTGTGTGCACCGTTCCCTGATGGCCTGGTTCTTCTCCTTCAATGTAGAACTTCAGTCTCATGTGCTTTAGTCCATCCTTCATGTACTCTACATGACTGAAGAAAATATGCTAGTAATCACACTGACGAAAGTCACAGTCTGTTTAATGCAGTAATTTTGTATTCCTAGTGTCTGAAGAAAGACCATTATGGTAAAAAAAAACTAATTATCTCACCTGACTTGTTGTCTTCTACCACGACGAGACGTCTCACCAAAGCACTTGTTCGGCTCCCCAAACACTCCAATCACCTGCGGTTTTACCAAGATGATAGAAGAGCGCAATCAGCTTTACACCATATTGCTTTAACATACCCTTTGTTTTCAGATAAGTGCAGATGCAGAAAAGGAGACGAGGGAAGGAGACCAGAAGAGGAGGCAACAAGACTAATGAGATGTTGATGGTTGATGTTGTCTTTAACTCAGTGCTCTTATATTCAAGACACATTCCTGCAAAAGGCCAATACATAAACTAACTGAACTGAAATGCAGACCAAGACTAGATTGTTTTGTTGATGTTATGTTTCTGTGCTCGTTATAATTTCACCTCTGGGTGTAACCTGGCTTTATTGAAGGCTTTGCTGTAGACCTTGCTGGGGCTGGAGGAGGAGAAGAGCTCCTGGAACACCTGAGAACAAAACACACAGGTGTCAACAGGTAGGAGCAGCACTGTCTTTCAATCAGATTACATCAATTAATGTTTCAATATCATATTCTGGAAGTTGTGGATTCACCAGTCACTCCAAAACCGACAAGCACAACTACGAGATAGGTGAGGTCTTTGCCAGCTTCCTTCACTGTTGAGAGGGCGAGAAACTCTGATTTAGTATACCCTTCTAGTTCTAAACTCTGATAACTGAAGCAAAAGATGACGCATGCCAATGTCAACACTTCCAATAGTTTGGTCTCTTCCATTCTTACTTTGCAACAAGTGTGATCATAGCCAAAAACAAAGCCACTGATTCTGTCCAGTTAGTGGCTGATTGATTGACAATACGTTCCTGTGTTTGACAAGCTTACCTTTAGGTGCAGTAGAAGGTCCTCGCCCAGGTGCTGACACCTGTCCACCTTCCTTCTCTTCTTCTTTACTTCTCAACCTTGTGTCGATTGGAAATGCTTCGATTGTGTACAAAATATAGCGCTCACAACAGGTGAGCTATCTGCTAATATAATGTCCCTGACAGGTCCCAGTGAATTATATCAAAGAGAATGCTGTGTTGGATGAAATAGACATCACAGAAATACAGAGTTTTTGAAACATGTATATTTTAAAACATGTATATTCTCTTTGATAATATGGTCACTTATTCTAGACTAGGGTATGGTGCCACCAGTGGAGGTTGGTGCCGTTTAAGATGAGGGAGGATGATTTTTTCTTCTTTTCATGAGCATGGCCTTATTTCTATTATAGCACATTGGATGACTGTCATTCATATTCCATTCACCCAGTTCAATGTAACAGCGATAGGTTTAGGCTACTAATGATACTCAAATTTTCCCTATGCCCATCATGAGGTTGCTGCAATCTAGCCTATGAATGAAAGTTTACAAGTAGGTGCACACAGGTCGAGAGAAAAATTTGAGGTGACAGACAGTGACACATGGACAGACAGTGACACAGTCAAAACGGCCTTGCACACTCTTGCCTGCTTCTAGCTGATCTAGGGTGTAATCATTGGTGCAACAGTTGCAAACGAGAGTTTCTATTGGAGAAATTCAAGTATGTTTATCCCCGTTTTGTTCCGTTTGCTTTCGTTTAAGAAAAGTTTTTCAACAGAATCATGTGAATCAATACACCCCTGATCACACATAAACACAGTTCACTTTCATAGCAGCCATGTTGTATTCCTTCTTGCATCTATGCGTTCTCCTCCTCTCACCTTTTCCCTTCGCTTGTGGACTTCAGTGCACAACACATCAGCTGTATGTGACCAGGCGAAAAAACCTTTCCAGCCCAAACCATGTCATAACCGCTACACACAGCTTACATCGTTCTCACCATATCAGCTAAAGTAACATCATAGTCAACATAGCTAATAGAACTAACGCGTTACTAAACCCGCTACAATCATGCAGTAACGTTACAGTGTACAGTCAAGCAGTTTAGCACTTACACCAGCGGGCCCCGGTGGCAATAAATTAGTAAAACCAAAAGCTTACCTTGACTTGGAAGAGTTCTAGTGTTGTGTTGGAAAGTCATAGCCAGCTAGCTAACAACGCATCCCTCTATTTGAGCAGGGTGTTTGAGTAAGCTAAACTAGCTAGTTGCGTTTGCTCGCTAAGTAAGTGAAACTGAAAGTGAAAAAAAAAAAATCTAAATCTCTCTCTATCGCTCTTGCTTCTACTTCATTTTGACTATTGTCTTTCTCTATCTTTGAGTAAACTACTCACCACATTTTATGCACTACAGTGCTAGCTAGCTGTAGCTTATGCTTTCAGTGCTAGATTCATTATCTGATCCTTTGATTGGGTGGCCAACATGTCAGTTTATGCTGCAAGAGCTCTGATAGGTTGGAGGGCATCCTCCAGAAGTCGCCATAATTACTGTGGAAGTCTGTGGAAGGGGGTGAGAACCATGAGCCTCCTAGGTTTTGTATTTAAGTCATTGTACCCAGAGGAGGACGGAAGCTAGCTGTCCTCCGGCTACACTATGGTGCTACCCTACAGAGTGCTGTTGAGGCTACTGTAGACCTTCATTGCAAAACAGTGTGTTTTAATCAATTATTTAGTATAGTTTTATCTAAAAAGGATACCTTTTAAAATGTTTTACAATAAAACAAAATTCACTGAGGAGGTTAGTCCTCCCCTTCCTCCTCTGAGGAGCCTCCACTGTGCCCCTTTTAGGCTACAACCTTACAACAAGGTGTCACAAGTGTGAGCCTATGTTGTTCATGGACAGGAACAAATGAATATAACTTTCCAATACAAACTCAGCAAGACTCTATGAGATTTAGTATCAGTTTATTGAAAACATTCTGTCCAGCATTTCTTTAACGTGTTACCAAACAAAGTAGAGATCTCAGCAAACAGATGGGTCTCAGACATATTCTGAAAGACAGGAAACAAAATATTGATGTTAATGCAAAGAAGGCCTAAGGCTATGGGTCAATCAAGGGATGATGTAGTAGCCTGATTCATGATCAGTTATTGAGCCCACTTTTCTTACTGTAGCCTAGTGTGCATAGACAAGCCACGAATACAACCGTTCCCAATGTTTAGGTTCCTAGTTCAAAATCTGACTTGGAATTCTCAAAACTGGGAAAATCAATTTGATTACTTCCTGATGAGGCCTGTGGCTGCCATAGAAATGACCTATTACTTCCCAATGTCCCATTTCAGTCCACAGAAAGCACCAACATGGAGACCCTTCCTGTCCAGTGGATTGGAACACTATAAAGTTTATGCCCTTATGACATCACAACATTCTGTGGGGTGTGAAACTCTGTCCGGGGAAAGAACTTGAGCCCTAATTGAGGGAAGGAAACATAACAGCGATACAGTGGGTTTCCAGATGGGATTTCAGGACCAACATGGCGTCCTCACATGTTGGATGTTAAATACAAATCAAATAAAATGTTTCAAAGAACAGGGTCAGGTTTTCAGTCCATGGACAATGTACATTTAAGGTATTTATTTTTCATTTAAAGTTTCAGTCCAGTATCCGAAAGTATCAGCATGTGTCTCTGGCTTTACAATCTCAGTCATTTAAGGAACACCAACAGGGCATATCACTGCTGTCATCCAAACAAAACAAGCCAACGCATACACAAAACAATTATTCATTTTTTTCTTATCACAACACTCTAAATTGGTTTTGTCGCTCAATGCAACAGTTCTCTCAAGATGCATGAGGGAGATTCATGTTAATTCCATAAGTTTTCAAACTTGGCAAGATGCAGAAGAATGATGCATCTTTCTGAAGTATCTGTAGAGACATGAAAACACTATTATTAGCCTACTCATAGTCCACAATTACTGCAACTCTGTTCTCTCTCACTTGTTTGAGACAGCTTCAATTGGATTCGTAAAAAAAAAAAAAAAGAACTAATAAGAATGTTAATCTGAAACAAACTATATAACTAAATGTATTACAGTTTGATATGATGTAACTTTACCTCTCTGTCGTCATCCTGAAGTTTAATTAGAACAGATGACTGTGTAAATCAAATGAGACCCTATAGCAGGGTTCTTCAATTCCGGTCCTGGAGGACCGAAACACTTCTGTTTTTTATTTCTACCTGGTAGTTAATTGCACTCACCTGGTGTCCCAGGTCTGAATTAGCCCCTGCTTAGAAGGAGAGGATGAAAAACAGAGGTGTTTCGGCCCTCCAGGACCGGAATTAAAGAACCCTGCCTTATAGCAATAAATAACACATTTCAACATAAAGTAGGGCTATTTTCTGTATGTTGCCTACAGGGTTAAGACATGTACTGTTATTTTTGCAGTCTCTGTGTGTGTGTGTTTACATAGCATTTGATTTACATTCCCTTAAGTTTTTAAATTACAGTAATACAATAACAGCACGACTAGCTGTGTCTAAATGAAGTGAACACGAAACATAAACTGAACACATAAAACACACAAAGTACCATTACTGAAAGAACAAACACATTAACATACACAACAGCAAAGCAGAAAACTGAGCAAGCATGTCCAATTAAACTAAAGATAGATGTATTGTTGGGATGTTGAAGGTGTCGGCATAGTTGCAAGGATGTAGTGCAGACAATAACATCTTGTCATTGTCAACACCGTCAACAACTTACTGATAATGTTTACGTGAGAGTGGACTGGAATTACATTGTACGATTGAGTGGAGATCAAAATGTTTCGATTCAGTATAGTCTTGGTGTGGCTAAATGGTGTGTCTTAATGGTGTCCATTTGTGAGTTTGTGTGTGCATGTTTGTGTGTGCGTGTGTGTGTGTGTGTGTTTGCAACTATTTGCATTTATATTTTGTAAAATGTTACCTAGTAGAAAAGTTAACGCCGGTAGAAAAGTCTGAGTATTAAGATGACAGGCTACTAAAAGAGGGTGTGACAAATGAACCAAAACTAAATAGTTTTTTGTCAACTACATTTTGAAATAATATATATTTGTGAGAGGAAATGTTAAAGGTTAGTTTTGCGTTGGCATTTATTTGACATTTAATTTAGTTTAATTGGCATTCAATCAATTAATACCACCAATAATACTTTTATGGATGGATTTCCTTTGTTTATATTATAGTGAACTTATTTATAATTGAGATGCATGTATTGTGTTAGTGGATGACTTAACTTTCAATCAAGATGTTAGATTGATAATTTTTCAATGGATATAAAAAGCATGCACAAGACATACCATTGCATTTTCAATTCTCATAGAAAATAATTAGATTTTGCTTATTCAGAAAAGGCTACATAACACTGGGGTTAGTTACTGCGTGATCACCTAAATATTACCAGTAAATGTTATTATTACAGATGGAGTTATTGCAGAAGGTGTTCTGATCACTATAGTCCTCGTTATTGATGATACATTTGAGCAACAAAAGTGTTTCTCACAATGCATTCATCCAAAAATGTTTAGTTTGATAATAATGCACCTTCTTAATGGACATTCAATAAGATTACAAAATCTGACTTGACAATGTAGGATGAGAGTAGTAGCCTACTTCAATTCAAGTTTCAAGACTTTCAAGCCAGTCTGTATTTAGCCAATTGTATTAATCTCTGTAGCTACTTTCTTCCAGTTTGTTACATGTTACATATTCTCTATTTCCATCAGTCCTTCATCACCATCATCACCATCATCATCATCATCATTACCATCACCATCATCATCACCTTTACCATCATCACCACCATCATCACCACCACCACCATCATCACCACCATCAACACTATCATCATCACCATCATTGCCATTATGCTGATGTGAATCTCCGGTCCGTATTTTTATATTTCCTTGAAGCCCGTTCGTAGTGATCCAGGATTGCACTATTCTAAAGAAGTCTATACGATGGAAACATTGCAACATAATGTAAAACGAAAGAAAACACACACACACACAAACACAAACACAAACACACACACACACACAAACACACACACACACAAACACACACACACATACACACACACACAAACACAAACACACACACACACACACAAACACACACAAACACAAACACAAACACACACATCACATGACTAAACATTTCTCACACTGAATTTCAATTTAAGGTAACAGCTTATTTGAATGTTCCAGCATAATACCATCGCAAGGGAGTCAGAGACACAACATTACGTAAAGTTATATGACAACCTTATGTAGGCATTATGACGGAACATTCACATAAAGTATTGCCCGACTAAAGACATTAAATAATATGCTTTCTCATTAAGGTAACTTGAGAAAAAATTAAAAGAAGAAACCCACACACTGCTCTTGATAGTATCACTGCTCTTGATAGTATCACTGCTCTTGATAGAATCACTGCTCTTGAAAGTATCACTGCTCTTGATAATATTACTGCTCTTGATAGTATCACTGCTCTTGATAGTATCACTGCTCTTGATGGTATCACTGCTCTTGATAGTATCACTGCTCTTGATGGTATCACTGCTCTTGATAGTATCACTGCTCTTCATTAAGCTTTACATATCGGCCTATAGGCCTTCGTGAGTGTTTTTAATTTGCACCTTTATGTAGACATTGCTTCTACATAAGGGTTGAAATTAACAACACTCACAAAAGCTCTGAAGAAGGCCTACAGGCCAATACGTGAAGCTTAATAAAGAGCAGTAATACTATCAAGAGCAGTGATACTATCAAGAGCAGTGATACTATCAAGAGCAGTGATAATATCAAGAGCAGTGATACTATCAAGAGCAGTGATACTACCAAGAGCAGTAATATTATCAAGAGCAGTGATACTATCAAGAGCAGTGATACTATCAAGAGCAGTGATACTATCAAGAGCAGTAATATTATCAAGAGCAGTAATATTATCAAGAGCAGTGATACTATCAAGAGCAGTGATAATATCAAGAGCAGTGATACTATCAAGAGCAGTGATACTATCAAGAGCAGTGATACTATCAAGAGCAGTGATACTATCAAGAGCAGTGATACTATCAAGAGCAGTAATATTATCAAGAGCAGTGTGTGGGTTTCTTCTTCTTTCTGATGTTATTCAGCTGTTACCATGGCACCTGCAAAACAGATCGCTCAGATGTGCGAGTGCCTTTTGAACATGAAGGTAACTTAAAACTGAAGACAACAGTAGGCATGGATGCTGGAAAAGCCGTGTTCAGTATTTGATTCATTCAACAAGTCAAGAAAACCGGAGAATACAGTATAAGTGTGACTTCAGGAAACCTTAGTAAATGTCTGAAAACGTTACAGGCGACTAACTTGTTTAGAATTAAAAGTGTGATTTTAGTATTGGTGTATGTAAAGTACTATTCATGTGCTTAATCAAAAGTGTGCTAATAAAATATCCTTATGTTAAATGATACAGCTATGATCTGTTTGTGCAACGAGGCTAAAATACATACAGGTCAAAGGTTAGAAACATCCTTATTGTCCACAGGTTCAACAGAAGATGACTGGATAAGTACATGCTAGTAAATAATAACATGATGTTCATGATTTGACTTCGATAAGAAGAGGACACAGACATGAGCTTCAAATAAACCACGCAAAAAACTAGCAGCCAAATTTCACACAAAAACTCACCACAAACCAAGATTGGCCGCAAGCAGAGGAACCATCTTGATGATAATGAATCATACAAAGAAATCAAACAAAAACGAACTAAATTCAGAACAACGTCACAAAAAATGTAATAATCAAAACGACATCAAACTACCATGACTGAGATACTGACTTGAAAACGATGAACTACACAGAAACATACAATATGTTTATTGTTGTATAAGTGAGGGGGGGGGGGGGGGGGGCTTACCTTGAGATTGTCCTACACCCTAGTCGTGTTGTATTCTGATTCGTGTTTGCTCAAAGAGCCAATGAGGCAGAACCTGAAATGTCACCGCTCTGTCGTTTATTATCAAACTTTTGTTTTGCATAGAGATTATCACATTTAAATGCATATATTTGCTACAAAAAAAAGCAGAACATTTCAACAGAGTTTTGAACTCTGGAAGTCTTGCATGCATAAAAATGGAGGTGCTGGGCGTTATAGTTAGAACGAGACTTATACAGGTTGAATACAGTAGAGCACACAAAGTGCATGCACAACAAAGATACTGGAACGTGGAAGTTATTTTGTAGGTACAAGAAGTGTTCCTCCATTTATTATTTGTTAACATTTAATGTATCAAGCCATCAAGGTGCAGATACCTGTACAATAAAATATTATTTATAGAAAACAGGTTCATGCCAAAAGTTTGAACTGTACCGAATAAAATAAACTATCACAGTTAACATCTAATATTAACAAAGTTAATTGTGTTTTTATCTTTTCAGTTTACAAAAGAAAGTTATTTGCATTCTAAATGGTTTTAATCAATAATCTCTTTATCAGTGACAGGCACCAATACAAGCCCTTGTGGTTGCGAGTCAGAGCAGACTGAGAGACTGATCTACATGTCCTCTGTAGAAAATGGCAACATGCACTATCCTTGCACATCATAAATCAGTATTTTTAATTGAAGATGCATATCTAAAGACTTAACAAGGACACTGGCCATGTTTGTGGGTTACTGAGCGTGGTCTGGAGCTACAGGAGATACACAGATGGAGAAATACATCCGTATGAAGATAGAGAGAGAGAGAAGGGGAGGAGTGAGATAGTGGGTGATATAGAAAACAGAGGGGGTAGGTCTCACTACCACAGCATAGCCCTTTATGAACGATAGCAGAGTTGACAGGAAGAAGGAAGATCAAAGCAAAAAAGAAAGCTAACCCCCCCCACCCCCCCCCAAAAAAATAAAAAAAATAAAAAAATGAACAGAAGAATGAAGGAAATACCAAAAATAGAGGAGGAGGATTCTTTTTTTTTTTTTTATGGAAGAAAAATCTATGTCACCCTCCACCATGACATATTATATTAAGATGTCTTCATTGATTGATAGATTGACTGATCATGGATCATCAAAAATCTATATATACTGACCGCTGGACTGCCTTCTCGTGACGCGACAGTCGGTGGCTCGTCGTGGGAACCTCTTCCAGGTCGTCGTCGAGGTCACACCCATTGTCGGCCGCTTCCTGCGAGTAGCTGTGCTTCATCACTAGGATGCTGCGCCGGTTCCCGGTGGCTACGCTGGGCAGCAGCGGCCGTACCGGCTGCGGTGGAAGGTCCGTGAGGAGGGCGGCAGCCTCGCGTGCACTCAGGTTGCTGCGGCTTCCCCGCCCACTGAGCGACAGCTGGGACAAGTGGGCGGAACCAGGGTTGGAGGCGGATCCACAATGGTGGTCGTGGATGCAGCGCGAGGATGAGTGATGCAGCGCGTGGTAGTTCTCGAAGTCCTCCGTTAGGTCCACTAGATCCGCAGAGGCAGCGGTGGCGTGCGTGGCGCTGCGTAGAGTGCAGAGGCCATAGTGCTGTGGCTCGAAGACCTCCTGGAACATGGTGGGGTCAAAGTCCTCGCGCCGGAGGATGTACTTCTTCCTGGGTTGTTTGATCTGAACGATGACTGACACGATGAGGAGGATGAGGACGATGCAGCAGGTGACGCCGATGATGGTGCCGTTGGTGTTGGTCAGGTTGTCCAGGATGTTGGCTTTCCTCTTCTCTGTTGGGGGAGGGAGGAAGGGAGAGGAAGAGAGGCAAGGGAGGAGGAGAGAGAAAGAGAGAAATAGAGAGATAGATGGGAGGGAAGACAGAGATAAATAGAGAGAGATGGGAGGGAGACAGAGAGAAATAGAGAGAGAGATGGGAGGGAGACAGAGAGATACCGTGAGATAGATGGGAGGGAGACAGAGAGAAATAGAGAGAGAGATGGGAGGGAGACAGAGAGAAATAGAGAGATAGATGGGAGGGAGACAGAGAGATACCGTGAGATAGATGGGAGGGAGACAGAGAGATACAGTGAGATAGATGGGAGGGAGACAGAGAGATACAGTGAGAGATCTAAATAGTAGATGTCAGGAGACATGTTCATGTTTCTAATTTAGAGGTCAGGAGACATGTTCATGTTTCTATTTTAGAGAGTGTGTCCTCTGCTTTCTTCTCCTCTTTGTAAATGTAGCCAAGTGGTAAAACACACTGCAGTTCTATAATTATTCCACTGCGTGGCAGTGCCCCTTTAAGAAATGACCAATTTACACCCACACAAGTCATGAAAACAGCACCAAAGTTTCCTGCGCAATAACACAAACACACACACACACACACACACACACACACACAGACACACACACTTACACACACCCCAGCAGATGGATAGATCACAGTTAGCAAGCAAATATGATTCCCAACACACAGAGGAAATTGACTACAAGATAAAGATCATGATGTTATTGATGAACAGCAGCTGCGTGAAAGGGTCAGGGTGTTAAGGAGTTTTACGGCCATTCCACCAGAGAACATACAAAGAGCACAAAACACTTAAAGTGTGGAGAGAAGCTGCCTATAGGGAGAGGGCTGACATTTACTGTATACACTGGGCTGGATATACATTGTGTGTGTGTGTGTTATTAAATTCCCTGGTTTTCCAGAAATCCTGGTTGGAGAATTCCAGTTGTCCTGCTTATTCCCTCCTGATTCCAGGAACCTCCAACCGGGATTTCGGTAAAACCAGGGTTCCAGGATTTGTGCAACCCTATGTGTGTGTGTTTTAGTGTGTGTGTGTGTGTGTGTGTGTGTGTGTGTGTGTGTGTGTATCTTTTTACAGCGTGTGTGTGTTTGTGAGTGCCTGTTTTCAGTGTGGTCAACTCCCCTGTTACAACAGCAACATTCACATTCCATCCAGAAAAAAGCAGACAAAGAACATGTCAGTTTACTGCTAATGAGGATAGATGCAGGCAGAGCACAGGAGCTACACATCACCAGGAACAGGGGGGGGGGGGGGGGGGGGGGGGGGGGGGGGGGGGTGGAAACTAAGCAGCAGCACAAAAACATGTCCGGGGAAGATGCTGACTGGTACACATTTTCAATGCTAGCAACTTGTAGCGAATGGTAGCTTAGAAGGTGAGGAAGAAGCCCACACTGGCTTAACAATGGCTGGAAATTGCTGTTGTTTGTCATTGGGCGACGCTCAGGGTTACACGGATGAACAAACGCCAGGGTTACACAGAGGAACAAACGCCAGGGTTACACAGAGGAACAAACGCCAGGGTTACACAGAGGAACAAACGCCAGGGTTACACAGAGGAACAAACGCCAGGGTTACACAGAGGAACAAACGCCAGGGTTACACAGAGGAACAAACGCCAGGGTTACACAGAGGAACCACACGCCAGGTTTACAGAGGACAATCCCAGGGTTACACAGAGGAACAAACCGCCAGGGTTCAACACAGAGGAACAGAACGCCAGAAACAAACGCCAGGGTTACACGGATGAACAAACATGCAGCGAGTGGACAGGTTTGGCGGCTGCCTGGGTCCGAACTCTGGTCACCGGCATGGTGACTGTGTAGCCCACAAAGCTAAAGGAGCTTGGAGGAACAATTCACCCAGCCTTAGCAGGGTCATGATCCTAGATATAGCATGTGTACTACCAACCCACTAGAACCAGTCCTAGCCTCCTCCCTTTAGCAGTCGGCCAGGGGGAACACTGTATCAACTGATCAGGAGCTCAGACATAAAGAGGTAGAGCTGAGGATCATAGTATGGATCTAATTGGACAGCTGTGAGAAAAGAGGGAGTCAGGAGAGATCAGGAGAGATCGGTAGAGATCTGGAGAGATCAGGAGAGATCAGGAGAGATCAGGAGAAATCTGGAGAGATCGGGAGAGATCGGGAGAAATCTGGAGAGATCGGGAGAGATCTGGAGAGATCTGGAGAGATCAGGAGAGATCTGGAGAGATCAGCCGTTGAAAGGGCCCTCTCAGTACGATGGCCCCTGATCAACCCTGAGGACCAACAGGATAAAATGGAAGGGGTTGTATGAATCATGGTATAGATCTAATAGGAGAAACAGAGAGAGTATGGAGAACACGGAGGTAACAGATAAGCACTGAAGATCAGGAAAAAGCTGAGAGGGACAAAGTTCAGGAAATAAAATAAGAAGTAGTGGATTATCTATGGACTTGGTCTTCATAGAGGATAGAGGGGTATTAGAAGTGGATCATGACATGGAATCAGTGGAACAGGATACATTGTTAAGGAAGTGTAACATCAGAATCAGGTATGGATTGAGAGGGAGAGAGGGAGAAAGGTGATCAGAGATCAATACATAGGGAATTGTGCTGAATGCTCGTGTGGAAAATACATTCATTGGAATACTGAGCATCAAGTATGGATCAGGCGGGATGGAATTATATTAGGAGTGTGAAGGAAGCACTGTGGGAAGTGCATGGATTGAGAGGAACATACATTGGATACAGCGAGGGGATACACAGTGGATTGGTTTGGATTGACATGGGATTTAATGTGATCATGTCAAGAGAGAGGGAGGTGGGAGAGAGTGGTAGAGCCGATTTTGGACAAATCCGTCAAGACACCAACCATAATAAAGGGTTAAAAATTGGTTTTAAATCAGCTCCTGAATTTGATTGAATATAGCTATGATACCCCTCATCTTCATTTTTTTTTGGGGGGGGGGTTGAGCGTGGGTTTGACCTCTCACCTTTGCAGTGGTTCTCGTCCCAGGGGTAGACACAGTTCTGAATACCGTTACACACCAGGGTGTTGTTGATGCACATGTTACTGTGACAGAAGAAGGCATCCGGCTCGCACGGAGCTGTAATGACAGGAGAGAGAACAACATTAGACAGAGACATACACTATATGCTTATAGGAATCAGTTGCTTGCAGTGCTCTCCATTTTTGTGATTCATTTTGTATTAGACGTTTCCCCATAATAATCACAAGTATGAGCTACATTGCTCAAATGGTCAAGGATGAATGTGATTTCTATGAAAGGAGTGCACACTATTGCAGACCAAACACCCTTTTTACCCTGTCTGATCTGACACAAAAATCAATCCCATCAGCAAGCAAAAAATCATCCAACAACATGAATCATTATCAGAGACAGGCATGAACCTGTATACAGTATAATGATGCTCCAGATTTGGGGTGAATTTGAAAGCGCATTACTCAGCTCTGAACCCATCTGCTCTTCGTGACTTTCCTCCTCTTCAGAAATCCGTTGAGACAAGGCTGTGCATAGTAATCTCTCTGGGAGTGTACTTCATAAAGCTATCTATATAATTACACAGACAGGGTAACACCTGGAGAGAAGACTTTGATATCCTGGAGATGTCAGACTAACACATGTAGTAATCAACTAGGCCTGAATCCTTCAGTGCCAGAGTTACTGCATATATACATAACTTAACTTGAACGTGAACACTAATTATCTACGTATAGATGCCAACAGGGAGATATGTGCAAAGTTTAAAGAGGCAAGTTATGACTGTGTGTTGATACTGGCAGGGAACGAACGCTGTGCCTGTGTGTTTGTGTGTGTGTATGTGTGTGTTGTGCATGTGTGTGTGTGTATGTGCGTATCCGTAAGTGCGAGTGTGTGCAAGTGTGACACAGAGCTGTGTATGTGTCGATGGTTGGCGACTGAGATCATAAAATTGAGAGATGTGAGGAGACAAGGGAGAGAGAGAGTGTTAGGAGAGAGAGAGAGGTGTTAGGAGAGAGAGAGAAGGTGTTAGGAGAGAGAGAAAGGTGTTAGGAGAGCGAGAGAGAGAGAAGAGGAGAGAGCAGGAGAAGAGAGAGAGCGATCACGAGAGAGAGAGAGGAGGAGAGAGAGCAGAGAGAGAGAGCAGAGAGATTAAGAGCAAGAGCGTGTTGTGTTAGCGTGAGAGGAGCAGAGCGATGGCGAGACGAGAAAAGGATAGAGAGAGAAGAGAGAGAGAGAGAGAGAGAGAGAGAGAGCACCTTCGAGGCAGCGTGAATAGAGTTATCCAATTATAGTGTCTCTGGTAATGTGTCAGCCGCCCCATCATCACGCCGGTAATTAGACAATCACCAATAACACTAATGCACTGGCCTACTGCGGCCCACCCAGTGTAATGGACAGACCCAACCAGTGTAATGGACAGACCTACTGACGAATCAAATGACTACACCAAGCCAAGACAGTTTGCTCCATTCAATCTGATGTAATTTAATGGGACTTAATCAATCTTTATTACATTCCAAGGGTTATCTGTTTCTAGTAGTATAGTTTTAACTGAACATTAAATATTTAGTGCACTGACTCAACAGAACAGAGGGTAGGGATATAAGGGTTGACTCATTGGACAAGAACAAACGATTTCATTGAATTGAAGTCCACCAGTCCCAATTCACATACATTCCTTTGAATGACTCTGGATATGCACATGTTCTGGTTTAGTGCGTCATGCATTCAAGTCAGTCCCCAAGTCATGCCATTTATGAGGAGTTGCATGCAGACTGGTAGGAGCAGCACTTCACACTAAATCCTCTGTCTCCTGTAGGGCCTTAGAGTGGTGGTGGGTGAGCTTAATGGATGGCTGTGTTTAAACAATGGTTATTTACTGGTTGTGGACAGGGAAGTGGTCACAGACACACACATGCATACTAATGCATGGGGCATTAAACAACGTAGAATGATGATGGATGATGGATGATGGAAGACTGTTTTCATCCCTCCATTGATCCCAGGGGTATAATAATGACTCCTCCCCCTCCGTCTCGCTCTTCCTGAACACAGTACCAGGTCTTACCACCAAGGGGAGGGCTATCCCTCCCCTTCCCACCACTACACAGGGAAAGGGGGATACCTAGTCAGTTGTACAACTGAATGCATTCAACTGAAATGTGTCTTCCGCATTTAACCCAACCCCTCTGAATCAGAGAGGTGCAGAGGGCTGCCTTGATCGACATCCACATCATCGGCGCCCGGGGAACAGTGGGTTAACCTCCTTACTCAGGGGCAGAACGACAGATGTTTACCTTGTCAGCTCTGGGATTCAATCCAGCATCCTTTTGGTTACTGGCCCAAAGCTCCTACCCACCAGGCTACCTGCCGCCCGCACAGCTGACTTTATGAAGAGGTGGATCCAAACTAATCTGCAGCTACATTTATTCCCAGACATTTTGTATCCCACCCTGCCTGCCTCCCACCCCACCCTGCCTGCCTCCCACCCCACCCTGCCTGCCTCCCACCCCACCCTGCCTGCCTCCCATCCCACCCTGCCTGCCTGCCTGCCTCCCGACCCGGCCTGCCTTCTACCCCACCCTGCCTGCCTCCTAACCCACTCTGCCTGCCTCCCACCCCACCCTGCCTGCCTGCCTCCCACCCTGCCTGCCTCCCATCACCCGCAGGCCATCAGTTGGTGAATCCTGGTTTAGATGTTGTTGCAGAGAGTTTGTGAATGCAGCTCTAAACTCTGAAGATCTGACTGGGTATCTGCTGAGACACTGTTTGTGTTTAAAGGGTATTAAACAGTGACTTTAGCTCTGCTGTTTTAGTCTACAGGGTGTATATGAGGATCAGCTGAAGAGAGATGTGGTCAACCTGCATATTGCCTGGTGGTACCTGCATGTTTAAACAGTGTTGATGGTGTTGCTTGTGTGGTGCTGAACGCAGCACTGGCAGACGGGCTCGCTGGGTATCGGTTGAGTGACTTAGGCAGCAGTGTTACCGGGGCAATGGCACATCCTGGCTTCATTCAGTGGATAGGCCTCACAAAGAGGAAACAATTGCACTGCCTATACATTAACACGCATACACACAAACACACACATGCAAACCGATCTAACAATTTTGTAACTTATATAGATCTGTGTGTGTATTTAGAGAGAGAGAGAGAGAGAGTGTCTGTGTGTGTGTGTGTGTGTGTGTGTGTGTGTGTGTTATGATAGCTCTCAAGCAGCATCGAGAGGGGATACACTCCCTAATGGAATGCTCCCCCTCCAGTCACCAGGCGCTGTTTAAACACTCGTAAAGCTACATGAGATCCTTAGTCCGCCCTCAGCGGTTTGGCCCAAGCCCATTACCTCGGGGGATAACTCTACAGTGAACACACACATATACAGAAACCATCTCTCTCTCTCTCTCTCTCTCTCTCTCTCTCCTCTGTCCCTCTCTGGCTCTGTCTCTTCTCTCTCTCACCCTCCGCTCTCTTCTCTCTCTCTCTCTTCTCTCCTCTCTCTCTCCCCTCTCTCCTCTCCGTCCCCCCCTCCTCCTCTCTCGTCTCTCCCCCTCTCCTCATCTCATCTTTTCCTCCTCTCCCTGCCTCTCTCTCTCTCCTCTCTCTCCCTCTCTTCTCTCTCTCTCCTCTCTCTCTCCTCTCTCTCCTCACCTCTCTTCATCTCCTCGCCTCTCTCTCTCTCTCTCTCTCCCCTCGCTCCTCTTCACTCTCCCTCTCCTCCTCTCCACCTCCCTCTCTCTTCCTCTCGTTCTCTCCTCCTTCTCCCTCTCTCTCTCCTCTCTCTCTCCCCGCTCTCTTCTCCCTCCCTGCTCCTCAGCTCTCTCTCTCCTCCCTCCCTACTCCCATCCTCTCCATCTCTCTACTCTCTCCCCCTCCTCTCCTCCTTCCACCCTCTCTCCTCTCTCTCTCTCTCTCTCCTCTCCTCTCCCCGCTCCTCTACTCTCTCCACCTCCTCTCCTCTCTCTCTTCAGCACCTCTCCTCTCTCTCTCATGTACAGAGCCATAACGTGGAACATTAGTGGCCGGCCACTAAAAGACAACTACGCTGGTTGTTTTTTTAGGGTCTGTTTAACAGTAATTGGGTTAGGGGGGGTCACGCTATGAGGGTAGGTGGCGTGAATGTACCCCATCCATTACATGAATGTGCCCCATCTGTACCAATCCCCCACTAGATTGTTCATGTTCCAGTAAATGGCTTTACTGCATGGCCTTTTCAATTGCACAACATACATAGCTAGTGCCACAGTATACATGATACATACATTTATCATGATGACGGTTTCTAGCAACACGTATCTGTGTATTTCCAGCCAGTCCATACGCTGCCAGGATATGAGTGAACGTGTATGTGTTCATCATCACAGTCTTACGTTCTTGGAAGGTGGTGAAAAGTACCTGAAGCGGCTCCGGCGGCGGCCCTGGTCGGCCCACATCTGATCACCCCCGTGGTTGGACAGCAGATCACAGCGTGCCACGTAGAGCAGAACTTGTTCTTCAGGTCCTCCCGGACTAGCTGGCCCGTCGTACACCCGCCACAAGTTAAGCTTCAACTCGTTACTATTCTGCTCTCATAGTCCAGGAAAGCAGGTAGAACATTCTAGGTGTGAAGGGGAGGGAGAAGGAAGAGAGAGGAGAGAGGGAGAGAGGAAGAGTAGAGAGGATATTGGGGAGAGAGAGAGAGAGAGATAGAGAGAGCGAGCGAGAGAGACAGAGAGAGAGAGAGTAGAGAGAAGAGAGGAGAGAGAGAGAGAGGTCGAGCGAGAGAGAGAGAGAGAGAGAGAGAGAGAGAGAGAGAGAGAGAAAGAAAGAGAAGGGGTGGAGGGAGAGAGGAGCAGGGGTGGAGGGAGAAGAAAGGAGGGTGGAGGGAGATAAGTGAGGAGGTGTGGAGGAAGAGGGAGATGGAAGATGAGGAGAGAGAGAGAGAAATGGAAGAGAGAGAGAAGAAGGTTTCTCTCTCTCTCTACTCTCTCCTCTCTCTCTCTCTCTCTCTCGCTCTATACTCTACTCTCTCTCTCTCTCTCTCTCGCTCCCTCCCTCCTCCCTCCGCTCTCCTTTCCGTCTTTTCCCCTTCTCTTCATCATACCTCTCTCTTATTCACGAAAGTCTTATACTTTTTTCCCTCTATATATGATTAGTTCTCGATCTGTCAAAATAACTTTCTCATTATCCATGTTTCTCTTTAACCCATTTTCTTCTAACTCACTTTTCTCATGAGCTATACCTTTTCATTCATTCCTTCTCTTCTTTACTCTTTCAAGTCGTCACATCATCAGCGTCGGTACAAAGCCTGTAGTGACACAGTGTTCCTATCACTGCTTATGCACACTCCTCAAACAGATCATTATGTTTGCACTCTCATTCATGTCTAAGGGTCTGCTAGATCAAACCTTTTGGTCTTCAACTCTAAAACACATACATTCATCACACTCGGCACTACCGAGAGACCAGAGAAGTTTGGATGAATCAATTCCATGGTTCACTCACTAGGCTTTCATACAGTAGGATTGAAGACACCATCACAGTCTTCCTGTCTCTCTAGCAGGTTTGAACCACATCCTTTGACCCTTATCACAAAACTAGCTCTGGAAGAAAGGAAAATGCACCTTCAACACATCAACCGTCAGACTGTTTTGAATATTAAACAAATCACATTTTATCAAATCAAAAGTTTTATTGGTTGTGGTACACCGCTTTTTTTGTTTGTCAAAATCTCAGAATCTGCCGCCCTCCTGGGGCTTCTCACGCAAGACTAGGGTGCGGACCGTAATGCCCCCCGAAAAAAAATATATGCTCTGTCGGGCCAAAGTGCCCGTTGTGCCTTGGGCTGAATATAATAGTTTTCCCTTCTCCCCGGCTGTCAATCGCCTTGCTCTGCAAAGCAACTCTGCCTCTATCGCCCCCTCAAATATCCTAAATTCTTATTAACCAAGGCCCGTCAAGTTCGGGTTCTTCTCCATGGGCAGCTCATCTCCAAATTAGGCCTGCGAGAAACACACATTGGGGATGGCACTGCACAGTCCTTATCGAATTCCGAGGTGTTTATTGAATATGTTCGAAGAACTGTCCCCGTTTTACTTTTCGTCAGCCACTTGATGAGTAGGCTTAAACTAACAGCAAAAGCACTAGCCTATTTCCCAATCTACTATCCCCATAGTAACAAAGTTGATTATTATTCTACTGGTCCTGTTGTCTTGTGTACGATAAATACATATTCCAAACATACTCTGGGACAGTTGTGGGACGCATAGATCCCAAATTAATACAACCACACTGTACCTACAATCAAAAAAAACGTTTTTAAAACAATGAGGCTGATGCAACATATCAGAAAACTGTTTGATTACAATTTTTGTAAAATATTAGCTATTTTTATTCACATTATAAGTGCGCAATGTGCACACTGTAGTAAGGCTATAAGCGTCAAATGTTCCAAAATACAAATAGCGGAAGTGCACCGCCAATGTGAGCGCTTTCATATGACAGAGATGAAACCATCCTTCAGAAATGTAGAAAGACTCATCCACAGCATTGTGTTGTTAATATGACTATGATTGTGTATTTGGCTGCTGGACAATGTAAGAAAGTTGAGAACTGAAGTATTAGGCTCTGTTTCAATGGATATTAAGTGTTTATACAACAATCCCCTTAACATGTGGTAGATGGTAAGACAATGCCCATGAATTTACAAAACAACGTCCAGGATTTAAACAATTACGTATATGTTTAAATAGTTTATTGACTGCCTCCACTTCAGATTGCAAGGTGGGTGATGTTGCAGTATCAACAGACAACTGGCCTTTCTCTCCTATCTCTGAACTAACGTACATCAAATGTCAACAGAATCAGCCTTTAATATTAATAATGGATCCTACATTATATTTTGTCAAAACATGACTGGTGTTTAGCCTAAATGTAAATTATATATACAAATTGTTGATTTGGTCCCCTTTGGAAAGCCAACTACTGAACCATATCCCGATATGGGATTTATAAATAACTATCTGGACTCCCGAAAGTACTGATCTCATAATACCCTATATATACACAAGTATGGGACACCCCTTCAAATTATGGATTCATCTATTTCAGCCATACCCGGTGCTGACAGTTGTATAAATCAGCACACCGCCATGCAATCTCCATAGACAAACATTTGCAGTAGAATGGCCTGACTGAAGAGCTCCGTGACTTTCAAACGTGGTCGCCATCATAGATGCCAACTTTCCAACAAGTCAAGTTCGTCAATGTCTGTTCTGCCCTGCTATGAGCTGCCCCGGTCAACTGTAAGTGCTGTTTATTGTGAAGCCCGGCCACACAGCTCACAAATGTGACCGCTAAGTGCTGAAAGCGCCTAGCGCGTGAAAATTGTCTGTCCTCCTGTTGCAACACTCACTACCGAGTTCCAAACTGCCTCTGGAAGAACGTCAGCACAATAACTGTTCATCAGGAAGCTTCATGAAATGGGTTTCCATGGCTGAACAGCCGCACATAAACCTAGATCAACCATGCGCAATGCCCAAGCGTCGTCTGGAGAGGTTTAAGCTGGCCGCCCATTGGACCTCTGGAGGGCAGTGGACACGTTCTCTGGAGTGATATCACGCTTCACCATCTGGCATCCGACAGACTATCTGGGTGGTGTATGCCATGAGAACGCTACCTGCCCCCAATCATAGTGCCAACCTGTAAATTTGGTGGAGGATAAGGAATAATGGTCTGGGTTGTTTTTCATGGTTCGGGCTTAGGCCCCTTATTCCAGTGAAGGAAATCTTAACGCTAACGCATATACAATTACATGTCAGTCGACTCTGTGCTTCTACTTAAAGGAAGGCCTAAACTGTTTCCGCATGACCATGCCCCCTTGCACAAGTGAGGTCCATACAGAATGGTTTTGTTGAGATCGGTGTGGCGACTTGACTGGCCTGCACAGAGCCCTGACCTCAACCCCATTGAACACCTTAGGATGAATTGGAACACAGACTGCGAGCAGGCCTAATCGCCCAACATCAGTGCCCAATTTCACTATACTCTTGTGGCTGAAGTCCCCCACAGCAAATGTTCCAACATATGTGGAAAGCCATTCCCAGACGCGTGGAGGCTGTTTATACAAGCAAAGCGGGACCACTCCCATATGAATGCCAAGATTTTGTAATTAAATGTTCGACGAGCAGGTGTCCACATCTTTTGGTCATGTAGGTTGTCATTAACAAGTCTAATTTAGTTTGGCTTCATTTTCCAGGCGCCTCTCTCATGTCAGCATCGGTCTGGACATGACAGGGGCCCCTGTAGCCAATAGCTATTCACCTACACTTTGACATTTGGCTAATTATATTATGTAACTACTTCCCTAGACTTATTTTTTTTCTTAACGAATAGCTACTGTATTTCAGTTTTTCAATCAATTGAAGTGGCTATTTTGGTGCCCTACACATGGCCTTGTTGGTGCCCTGGGAGATTGGGCACCCCTTGAAGGCCAAATGTCCTTGCCCCTAAAATCCCAGCATCCAGGCCCTGTAAGGGACCATGGGTCAAAAAAGAAAAAAAAAGGTTAGCAGGATGTGCATGCGAGGAACTTGAAGTTGTTTCCCAGTCACCCCCGTCACCATGGTTAAATGCGGTGGTTGGCCTTTTCAGTCACCACCGGGTCATTTTATATGTCATACTTTTCTCATAAGGGACATTTCAAAACGTCTTGAAGCATAGATTCCGATGGTCAGACCAACGATGAACATTCCTTACAATGGGAGCTCACTGTTTAATTTCTGCTTCTAGTGGGAGGATCAGAAATGGAAAAGCAGTGGACAGCACAGTGTCCTATCAGGCTATGACACACTTCCTCAAACAGATCATTATGTTTGCACTCTCATTCATGTCTAAGGGTCTGCTAGATCAAACATTTTGTCTTCACTCTAAAACACATACAGTCATCACACTCGGCACTACCGAGAGACCAGAGAAGTTGTGGATGAATCATTCCATGGTTCACTCACTAGGCTTCATACAGTAGGATTGTAAGACACCATCACAGTTTTCCTGTCTCTCTTAGAAGGTTTGACCACATACATTTGACCCTTATCACAAAACTAGCTCTGGAAGAAAGGAAAATGCACCTTCACACATCACAGTCAGACTGTTTGAAATATTAAACAAATCAACATTTTATCAAATCAAAGTTTATTGGTTGTGTACACCGATTTGCAAATCTCAGAATCTGCCGCCCTCCTGGGCTTCTCACGCAAGACTAGGGTGCGGCCGTAATGCCCCCGAAAAAAAAATATGCTCTGCGGGCCAAAGTGCCCGTTGTGCCCTTGGGCTGAATATAATAGTTCCCTTCTCCCGGCTGTCAATCGCCTTGCTGCAAAGCAACTCTCACTCATATCGCTCTCTCAAATATCTAAATTCTTATTAACCAATGCCCGTCAAGTGATCGGGTTCTTCTCATGGGCATCTCATCTCCAAAGTAGGCTGCAAGAGAAGACAGACACATTGGGGATGCAACGGCACGAGTCCTTATCGAATTCCGAGGTGTTTATTGAAGATGTTAGAAGAACTGTCCACGTTTACTTTTCGTCAGCCAACTTGATGAGTAGGCTTAACGAACAGCAAAAGCACTAGCCTATGTCAATCTACTATCCCCCATAGTACAAAAGTTGATTTATTCTACTGGTCAGGTTGTCCTTCTGTACGATAAATACATATTCCAAACATACTCTGGGACAGTTGTGGGACGCGATAGATCCCAAATTAATACAACCACTGTAGCCTACATCAAAAAAACGTTTTAAAACAATGAGGCTGATGCAACAGATCAGAACGTTTAGATTAAAATGTTGATAAAATATTAGGCTATTTCTTCACATTATAAGTGCAGCAATGTGCACACTGTAGTAGGCTATAAGCGCAAATGTTCCAAAATACAAATAGCGGAAGTGCACCGCCAATGTGAGCGCTTTCATATGACAGAGATGAAACCATCCTTCAGAAATGTAGAAAGACTCATCAACAAGCATGTGTTGTTAATATGACTAGGATTGTGTATTTGGCTGCTGGACAATGAAAGAAAGTTGAGAACTTGAGAGTATTAGGCTACTGGTTTCAATGGCATATGAAGTGTTTATAAAACAACATGGTAAGACATGCCTCATGAATTTACAAAAAACGTCCAGGATTTAAACAATTACGTATATGGTTAAATAGTTATATTGACTGCCTCCACTCAGATTGCAAGGTGGGTGATGTTGCAGTATGCAACAGACACTGGCCTTTCTCTCCTATCTGAACTAACAGTACATCAAGAATGTCAACAGAATCAAAGCCTTTAGATATTAATAATGATCCTACATTATATTTGTCAAAACATGACTTGGTGTTTAGCCTAAATGTACATTATATATACAAAATTAGTGGATTTGGTCCCTTTGGAAAGCCAACTACTGAACCATCCGATGATGGGATTTATAAATACATTATCTGGACTCCCGAAAGGACTGATCTCTATAATACCCTATATATACAAAAGTATGTGGACACCCCTTCAAATGAGTGGATTCATCTATTTCAGCCATACCCGTTGCTGACAGGTGTATAAAATCGAGCACACCGCCATGCAATCTCCATAGACAAACATTGGCAGTAGAATGGCCTTACTGAAGAGCTCCGTGACTTTCAACGTGGCGCCATCATAGGATGCCAACTTTCCAACAAGTCAGTTCGTCAAATTTCTGCCCTGCTAGAGCTGCCCCGGTCAACTGTAAGTGCTGTTATTGTGAAGCCACGGCCACACAAGCTCACAGAATGTGACCGCTTAGTGCTGAAGCGCATAGCGCGTGAAAATTGTCTGTCCTCTGTTGCAACACTCACTACCGAGTTCCAAACTGCCTCTGGAAGCAACGTCAGCACAATAACTGTTCATCAGGAGCTTCATGAAATGGGTTTCCATGGCTGAACAGCCGCACATAAACCTAAGATCACCATGCGCAATGCCAAGCGTCGGCTGGAGTGGTGTAAAGCTGGCTGCCATTGGACTCTGGAGCAGTGGAAACACGTTCTCTGGAGTGATGAATCACGCTTCACCATCTGGCAGTCCGACAGACTAATCTGGGTTTGGTGGATGCCAGGAGAACGCTACCTGCCCCAATGCATAGTGCCAACTGTAAAGTTTGGTGGAGGAGGAATAATGGTCTGGGGTTGTTTTTCATGGTTCGGGCTAGGCCCCTTAGTTCCAGTGAAGGGAAATCTTAACGCTACAGCATACAATTACATTCTAGTCGACTCTGTGCTTCTAACTTAAGGAAGGCCTAAACTGTTTCAGCATGACAATGCCCCCGTGCACAAAGTGAGGTCCATACAGAAATGGTTTGTTGAGATCGGTGTGGAAGAACTTGACTGGCCTGCACAGAGCCCTGACCTCAACCCCATTGAACACCTTAGGGATGAATTGGAACACAGACTGCGAGCCAGGCCTAATCGCCCAACATCAGTGCCCAATTTCACTAATACTCTTGTGGCTGAAGTCCCCACAGCAATGTTCCAACATATTGTGGAAAGCCATCCCAGAAGAGTGGAGGCTGTTATAGCAGCAAAGCGGGGACCAACTCCATATTAATGCCCAAGATTTTGTAATGAAATGTTCGACGAGCAGGTGTCCACATACTTTTGGTCATGTAGTGTATGTCATTACAAGTCTAATTTAAGTTTGGCTTCATTTTCAGGCGCCTCTCTCATGTCAGCATCGGTCTGGACATGACAGGCTGTAGCCAATAGCTATCACCTACACTTTGACATGTAGGCTAATTATATTATGTACAATTACCTAGACTTATTTTTTTCTTAACAGAATAGCTACTGTATTTCAGTTTTCAAATCAATTGAATTGGCTATTTTGGTGCCCTAGCACATGGCCTTGGTGCCCTGGGAGATTGGGCACCTCTTGAAGGCCAAATGTCCTTGCCCCTAAAATCACAGAATTCCAGGCCTGGAAGGGACCATTTCAAAAAAGAAAAAAAAAGGTTATCAGTGATGTGCATGCTGAGGAACTTGAAGTTGTTCCCAGTCACCTCACCATGGTTAAATGCGGTGGTTGGCGCTTTTCAGTCACCGGGTCAGTGTATATGTCAATACTATTCTCAGAGGGGACATTTCAAAACAGTCTTGAAGCATAGATTCCGATTGGTCAGACCAACGATGAACAGTCCTTACAATGGGAGCTCACTGTTTAAGTTTCTGCTTATAGGTGGGAGGAGCAGAATGGAGGTGTGATCTGATTTGCCGAAGAGAGGTTGGGGGAGGGCCTTACCATGATAGAGAGGATGCTTTCTTATTAAACGATCAAAGAGCTAAGAGCTAAGAGTTTTTCCTGGCTGTATGACCTAACAAGGCAAAAACTCCAGGCACTAGTTATGGCCTATCACTAAGTCCCAGAGTTGTTCCTGGTCAGGTCTTAGGATAAGTAAAAACTCAGGGCCCTAATTATGACCGCAAGTCACACTTCCACATAACAGCTTTACCAATCTGAGATAATCTGAATCCCTGTCTATAAATATTAACCACATACTGTATTTCATAATGACAGCTTTTCACTGTGAGGCTAACACTTCCTGACACCTCCAGCATCGGAGCCTGCCATTCGTTCATCAGACTGAGATTGGCCAATCACAGCTGCTGTTCTGGCCCGCTGCACATAACACCTAGCATAATTACAGTTAATGAGCTGCCGGCTCAGGTCGTGCGGTGAGGAAATGTAGTGCTTTAACTGTTTTAAGACGAATGGCACAGATGCACAGAACTAATGGAGCCTGCTGTGTCAGCTCGGTTTGAACCAACAGACAAGTGGAATAGATAGGGAGAGTAAAAAACTTCCTTCTCTCTCTCTCTCTCTCTCTCTGTCTCTCTCGCTCTCTCTCTCTCTCTCTGAACTCAACTGTCATAAGGCCTACATAACCCTATCATAAGACTGACATTACAGATGCCATTAGGAGTTATACCAACTAATGTCAGTTTGATGTGATTCCAATGATAAGAATGTTGTATGTTATCATTCAAAGAACGTCTTCCCACAAAACATTACTTATCCTTTAGTATTAAAGGGGATCCACCGAGAATCCTATTGTGCATCTCTCCAGGTTTAAACCAGTCATATGGGGGACCTAAATGGCCTAGGCATTTACCTGGCATTCTAGAACAGGACAGCTGATCGTACAGAGCTACGACAGCTCCAATCAGCACTGCTGAGATATGGAGACCTAACACATCAGCTTCATCAGGGGCCTTGCATGGCCTAGCATCTGGGGAGGAAGGGGGCCTTGATGGCCTAGCATCTGGGGAGGAAGGGGGCCTTGCATGGCCTAGCATCTGGTAGGAAGGGGGCCTTGCATGGCCTAGCATCTGGGGAGGAAGGGGGCCTTGCATGGCCTAGCATCTGGGGAGGAAGGGGGCCTTGCATGGCCTAGCATCTGGGGAGGAAGGGGGCCTTGCATGGCCTAGCATCTGGGTAGGAAGGGGGCCTTGCATGGCCTAGCATCTGGGTAGGAAGGGGGCCTTGCATGGCCTAGCATCTGGGGAGGAAGGGGGGCCTTGCATGGCCTAGCATCTGGGTAGGAAGGGGGGCCTTGCATGGCCTAGCATCTGGGGAGGAAGGGGGTCTTGCATGGCTAGCATCTGGGTAGGAAGGGGGCCTTGCATGGCCTAGCATCTGGGGAGGAAGGGGGCCTTGCATGGCTAGCATCTGGGATAGGAAGGGGGGGGGCCTTGCATGGCCTAGCATCTGGGGAGGAAGGGGGCCTTGCATGGCCTAGCATTGGGGTTTTGGGTAGGAAGGGGGGCCTTGCATGGCTAGCATCTGGGGTAGGAAGGGGGCCTTGCATGGCCTAGCATCTGGGTAGGAAGGGGGCCTTGCATGGCTTAGCATCTGGGGAGGAAGGGCCTTGCATGGCTAGCATCTGGGTAGGAAGGGCTTGATGGCTAGATTGGGAGGGGAAGGGGGCCTTGCATGGCCTAGCATCGGGGAGGGGGGGGGGCCCTTTCATGGCCAGCATTAGGGAGGAAGGGGGGCCCTTTATGGCCTAGATTGGGTAGGAAGGGGGCCTTGATGGCCCCTAAAAAACGGTAGGGAAAGGGGGGGGGGCCTACATCTGGGGGGAAGGGGGGCGGTGCACTGGGGGGAAGGGGGCCTTGGATGGCCCAGCATCGGGTAGGAAGGGGGGGCCTTGCAGGCCCCAGCATTGGGTGGAAAGGGGGGCCTGTGGCCTAGATTGGGGGAGGAAGGGGGCCCTTTCAGGCCTGCATTTGGGG